GAAATCATCGAAAACACAGAACTGGATGAGTTGCAGCAAGTTCTGCAGAAGTAGCTGGCTTGTGCATGGGCAAATTGACTTTTGGACTCTACACAGTATTATACTAYGTAGTTCCCTTTCCTAAATAATAAATGATAAAACTGCCCCAGTGTGAGACCACCTGTTCTGCTGCTTTGGCAGCTGCAGACACAACTGCACAYAGGGTAACATGAGAGAAATTTTTCTCTCCAGTGGACCAGATAAGAACTTATGRGTTARTGTTTTGAATGGAGACATATCATCRAGCAGCTGAAGGAAAACAACTTCCAGTGTGCCACTGTATTCTTGTAAGGAAGTGCAGGTCTGGTACAGGTGCTGCTGACAGAAACTATGGGGAAAAGCTACCATTAAGGAATTTCATGCCATATTGCCTTTGCACAAAACAGTTGCTCTAATCCAATTTCTGCGAGGTTGGCTGGCAGTAGTGAAGGAAGCAGTAAAGACCCATTTACTCTGTACACTCTTTGACAGCCATATCTTGGTGACAGAAGACAGTTTGCCCAACAGAAATTGAGATGAGCCTGTTTCAGAGCTTTTCAGATAATTTTACCCATATTTTACCACTGAGTTTCAGTTTTCAAGCATTGGAGTTGCACAGATAGCACTTTTGCAGGAAAGTCCTTTGTACATCTACCAACCATGTAACAAATCTTTGTGTTTTCATCCCTGTGTCCCAGACAAGGAAATTTCTCTGCTATGACGAAGCAGAAGCAATTGAACCAAGTTTTGAACAAGGCATCTGGAAGCACTGTTCTGGTGTGCATTTCAGCAATTCCAGGYGCACTAGTATTTGCTTTTGTTACAGAAGTAACAAGCAAGTCCCCTTTTGCACTGTCTGTCTACAGAAAGCAAATAAATAAAACTGATTTTCCTCACATGAAAGGAGATGCCATTCAAAAATGCTGCTATAGTGTCAAAGGATTCCATCAAGTGGTGAAAATTCTYGTCATCTCTGGAGAAGCGACGTCCAAAAATCACAGAACAAATCACACTTGAGACAGTATGAACAATAGGTTTAGTGGGGTCCAGAGGTTTTCCTGTAAACACAAGGAACTGCATTCACCATTAACACTTACTGTACCTGCTTTTCCTACTGATAGGAGAGCTGATAAAACTTCATAAACATTTCTGATATTAGACCACTGGATGGCAAATTGTAATTTATTGGTAAAAGGCCTGAGTAAAAAAGTAACTTCAGACATCTGAAAAACAGCTCAACACATACACTTTTAATCCATTTTTCAAAAGCTATCAATACCCCATTCTCCAGCAAAGTCTCCCACTGCACAGACTGCCCTGCCCACCATCACATACCATTTGTTTTCTTTAAGTATTCCACCAAGAGAGCAACTTCCTCYTGCAGTCGATAGTCCTGGTCTTTTTTCCCTACTCCCATTTTCCTCATTGTTGCAAGTCCAAAACGCCTCTGTTGCTTCCAGACATGACCATTAGAGAACATAACACCTGGGATCATAAGGAACTAATGCTGTCAATATCTTATAAATTAATGAATTGATATAGCCAAGAAGCTTCTCCTTTATTTGAATGTTTTCAAATTTTTGACAGCAGTCTGGCAAAATTCCACTTTTCTTTCTTTTGTATTTTAGCCATTTATCTCCCTTATAGAAGCTCTTACATTATGCTGTCGTTAATGTTCTGAGAGAATATAGAACAAAAATGTTTAAAAAAACCCATGAAAATAATAAACTTATTTTCTGCTGTAAATTAAGGATTTTGAGGCTATAAATCAATTTTCAAAATTAGGGACAGAACACATTAAAAGAATTTCTGAGAATAATAATTACCATTTCCATGTGTCAGAAAGCGAAAGGTGCTGCCTAGGGGCCTTCCAGCAACATCTTCAGCATGGGCAGTCAGACCTTCCTTCACTGCCTGAAACCCTTGCAGGACAACTGCAGGAGTGTTTGAAAGCCACAAGGTGAAGATATTACCATGAATTTTTGCCATCTGTAGAACAAAGCAGAATCAGAATAACATGAGTGAGAACCAGTGCTTTTAAATCAAACAAGACAAACCAGATCTTCTCCCTGGACAGGTGCCCCTAAGGGTGACTGACTTTGAGAAGAGAGCATCACCTATGTTCTTGCATACAATATAGTTTGAGCCACTTTTCTATCTGAAGTTCCATTTACTAAAGATCAAGATGTTTCTAAAATGCCAGCCAATATTACCAAAGGCTGTGATGTTATTTATGGCATGTCTTAAAGTTCAAACTCATTTTAGATTAACTCTTCCATCCTCACCATTTGCAAGACAGSAGTAGCTCATGAGTTTGATATGAAATATTTACAGATTCCACTTTGTGTATCAAGTGTAGCAAAAGCAGTTGAGGAGGTGAGTAATGCAGGAATCACCCTCTCCTTTCTAGCTCAGCCTTGAATTCACCTGCTGTGCATGCAGAAATCACTAGAAGTAGGAAGGACAGTRGTTTCCCTGGCTGCTGAACCAGGAACTAGGAAAGTAGGAAAATAGGCTGGAAAGAGTGAGGTGTTGGCAATATAGAAGCTCTTACATTTACCTCCTATATAGAAGCTCTTATCAGCTTATGAGCCTATTAATTAACTGCCAGAAAATACTTACTTTTCTAAGGTGCTCATGATGAACTCTGAARTTCATCTGCAGCAGATTTCCAAAGATGGGATATGGAGTTGGTCCAGGAGGAAATYGTCTTCGCATCCATTGCAATTTCAGAAACTGTATCAACAGCAGAGACAGCACAAAAAATACCAGCACCTCACTCACTGTTAACATTTTACTTCTGATTTACACAGCTACTGTCTCTGAACAACTGCTGTGTAGACAGAGGACAGGTCCACTTTATCTTCCTTTGCTGGTACCTCCCTGAAAACAGAAAAAAACTGTTGAACCTCCTGCAACTCTCTGTCTKTCTCTATCACTTTTACTTCCCCATCCCAAAGAATTATGTTCTTTTTAATGACATCATTGCATTACATTGCAGTTACAAATCTGTCAATCATTGTCTCTTTGAGGGATACAAAATGTACATAAATCACACACCTCCTTGTGCCATGATGGCTGCTGTGACAAAAATCTCTGCCCACGGTCCTGCTTTCATAAAAAACCTCTTGCAAGAACAAGAAACAAAAATAATTTCCTGAGGGTTGGCTGCACACCCAAGGGGTTTCTGAAAAGGTCTGGTTCATCAGTAGCCATCACGTGCACCAGCCACGTGCTCTGCTCCTTTACTTGCCCCATATTATTTCTTGATTTTGATGTTCTCTTCTATCCCTTTAATACTTTTTCTTTCCTCACAGTTCATATTGCAAGGTGTTTGGGGGATGGCTCTACCTTTTAATTTTGTGCCCAGAGTACATAAAAGACTCCAATCAGTCATGGGGTAACAGGAGTTTGATGGRTACAATGATGTAACACCCAAGTGTCCTCACAGTCCCTGCTCAGCTACACAGGGAAGTGAGGCTGCATGGTTTCCTTGACCAAGCAGAAAGAAAATTCCTTCACCCCTCCACCTGCCTCTGGCTAATCCCTCTGGATTGCCTGCAGCAGAACAAAGATGACATATAGTTGCCTCTGAGAAGTTTCACAGGCGCTCTCATGCAACTGAGCAACTCCAGCTCTGCAAGGGGGGCATTTGGACATGGACAACTCAGCTTTGGTGTTTACACAGGTGCAGTATTAACTTAGACTCAGCTTATCTGAGCAGGATAGGAGCATGTGGMACTCTGGGAAGTCACCTAGAGGCCTTGCTGCTCATGTACCAAACTAAAGAGTTGGCACAGATAGAACTGAAAGTTGTGAGGTGTGAAGCACATTGGTTTACTCCAGAAACAGGCAGAGAGGTAGCATTTACCCATCGTGCTGGCCTGTGATTGAACTGAGAGCCAGAATCAACCTGAGAAATGGAATTATGTACTCCAGAGACTACTTGTGCCAGGGGTAGTTCCCTCACTGATGTTGCATTTTCTGCATCTCAAATTGCTCCCAACTCCAAGTTTAGTATTTTCCAAAGTGTCCCTGAGAGGAGACTCACAGCTCCAAGGCTTGCTTGCCCTGCTCACTTGTAGCCCCATCTGGCCTCTGCACAGTCCTGGCTGCTGCTCTGCCTCTCCCCTGGCTCTCCAGGCTCACTCTGACTTTTCCACACAGATTAGCCACATTCTGGTGATTGCACCTTGCAGCCTAGATGTGAATGGCTTGCATGTAGAAAGGCAGCTGCCAAACAGCTCTGCCACGTCTTTGGGAGAGATGTTAAAGGGGATACAAATTGCTTTTCTCCTCATGCAAGATGGTGCTTCGGACTTGGAAAGAGGGAAGGCTGATAAGGATTTGTATAAGGTTTGTATAAGGTTTTGTACAAGGTGTTGTAAGCTGCATTTGCCAATGAAGAGACAAGGCCCACCCAGTGTGCTGTACATAACTGTCATTACAAACCCTGCTGTGTGAGAGGACACCCTTCAAATGCCTCTTAAATGCATTGCAACAGCATATGATGAAAAAAAGCAAAAATAAAAACATTTCCAGGCCATCCCACTGGTCTGTATCCACTTCCACCATTGTGTTTCACCAGCAGTGGGGCTCCCCYCTCTCTGCAATTCTCCAGCAGGCAATAGGAGGGGTTTGTCTTTGATRTCAGACCAAGTCATGAGCCTCACTCAAAAGAATGGTTGAACTGCTGTCTCTCTGCTCCTTCCAGTTTCAAGCAATCATCTGCCCATGGCTTTTGGATAAATARACAAAGCTGCAGAGGGGMAGCTCTGTGTTCCCATGAAAYCATACCTGGGGGCTCYAGCAATGGCCAGAATGCTGGAAACAGCATTCTCCTCCACTACTCTGGGTGTGGGAAAACTCCTCAGCATCTGGCTTTAATGTTCCTACTCCCTCCAGTAAGATTCTGTAGAGTTTCTAGTAAGACTAGGCAGTGCAACAATTGTCTAGGCTTATTTTATTTGTAACACAGCAGGAAAAAAAAGTACAGACACTTTCCACACACAGGAAAACCAGAGCATTGTTCAGGRCTGGCTTCTTATACATATAACACAACAAGGATAGATTCACACAGAATTAGAGCTAAAAATGAGAACCATAAAGTTGCACAAATACCAGCATGCTACCAAACCTGTGGCCATGCTTCTTAAATCTCTAACACTGAGTAACCCAGCGTGGAATTGCACAGAGCTTGTATGGATGGGGTTTCATGGTGCTCCCAAAGATAAAGTCGGTGTTGATTTTCTTAACTCCTTCTGGTACAGTGAACTTGAATTTCTGCAACAGGCTGCAGAAGATGATGAAAAACTCCATCTTGGCCATMGTCTCTCCTGGACAAATACGGTGGCCTGCAGAGGGTGAAGGGAAAGGAGTCAGTCCCCACCAAGGTCTGCACCCAGCACCTGTTTCCCAGCTTTTCACAGGAGCATTGCTCATCAAGGAACAAAGAGCTTTGTTGAATTTGACAATTTCCTCTCAGATTGAACTGGATGCATGATTGAGATGTCTGCAAYACATCTTTGTAGAACCTGCCCAGATTATAGAAAAAGATCCCAGAGATACTTCCCAGAAGTTTCATTCTTTCTTCCTAATCTATAGGACTCCACAATTAAGTCTCTYGATTCCAAATGAAAACAACAAGAAAGCATCTTTAGGTTCCCTCACAGTTTCCACTAGTACATAGATGCTGACTTATCTTCCCTAATAACAGTGAAAAAMCAGGATACAGAGGACATTCTACACCTGATGAAACATTTTCTTACATAATGGTTTCAGTGAAAACAACTTGTTAAAGAAAAATCTCCTCCTAATTTATCAATTAACTGTCCAAGATAGAATTCCCAGAGGCAGACAGCTACAAATTCTGAAATGCAGTGGTCAGGTCATTCAATTTGGAAGTGAGAAACCAATTCCTCTTCTGCCCAATTTAGACCAGAAACCTGAGCCTGACATTTACACATCTCAGCAGATGGCTCTGACAACCCTCCTGGCATGATCTCCAAGAAYTTTTGTTTGTTTATGCTTCTATAAACTCACACACTAGTGTAAGAGTGACTCCAGAAGCTCCACAGGAAAGACACAGTCTTCTGGAATGTATTTGATTCAGTTTCTGGATCTTCCATTTATTTTTCTTTACTGATGAATATTGAATTATCTGTACAAAATAAAACAGCTCCAGCAGAGCAGCCTGCCACAGAACAGCCACTGTAATAGCGTAACTGGACATACGCAGAGGACGACCAAGGGCAACAATGTAAAGGACTGAAGTCCCCAAGTGATTGGGAATTCTGGGACCTTATTCCTTTTACCTTCTCKGCATTTCCCCAAAAATCTAAGATTAACTGTTTACACAACTCCGAAACAACTTATTTTTGCAGTGAAATGTTTTTCTGGGCTGGGAAAACCATGTCCTACTGCAATCTGTRGTTACACTCCCCTTTGGCCTTCTCCACAATGAAAATAACACAGCTTCATCTAACCCACACACCTGGGGGTTTAGTTCTCAGTGCACYCACCTGCTGAGAAGGCTAAGAAGGCCTCTCGGGTCACAAAATTTCCATCCTTGTCCAAGAAATGACCAGGGTTGAACTGGTGAGGGGTCTCCCAGTAGGCAGGGTCAAAAAGAGTGGAGTCTATATTTGCCATAATTAGAGTGCCCTGAAAGGAAGATGCAGTTGGCACAGTTCTGTTTCTCACACATCAAAAAGAAAAGGACACAAACAGGTTAATTCTACATGCAGAAAGGCAGCAGAAATGGAAGATCACATAATTAGGGRGGAAAAATAATACCAAGTGTTCTGGGTTTTTTTCCTCAAAAAATTAGTAAACAAAGAAACCTCAGTATTTTGGGTTCAGGKATTTCCCTGCTGTATTCATTCACACCTTTTTCCAGTCTGTTAGCAAATGCCACAAAATGTGTGGTTTGCATTCCTTTAGCACCTTATCCTAAATCTGTTGAAATGATGTTCCTGCCCTGAACTGGAAGGAAAAGGGGTTAATGGTAAACCTTTACTCAAGGCCAAAGATCACATTGGAATAGAAGGGGTATCTGTACCTTTGGAATATGATACCCCAAAATAGTGGTATCTTTCACAGCTTCTCTAGGAATTGTGATTAAAATAATGCTGCTGAAGCGGAGGATCTCATGAATCACAGCATATGTGTAGGGCAGCTTCTTCCGATCCTCGTAGCAGATGACATGAGAAGGACTCAAAACAGTGTCCAGCTCTTTCTGGACTTTTTCTAAAAATAAAAAAAAAAAATCCATTATAGATATAAGAATACTGCATGAAACAGAGCTTTCATTTTCCTTTTTGGAGTATAGTAGTAAWAGAAAAAACTACAATAAACTACAATAGACTACAATATATAAATAATTTGTATTTACCATATCTAAAAGTGCAAATACATTTATACAATTAACTAGTTACACCCTGTTTCCAGTTGATAGATTCTATGTTCAGACTCTTTCCACAAGCCAAACAGATTTATCACTATAGTTAAAGGAAGGACAGAAAACTGTAAATAAAACAAGACTTTCATATTAAGAGATCGATTAAGTTAAGCTGTTATTTTTACTCCAGATAAATACAGACTCGCAGCACACTAACGAGGGTGTTGCAAGCAAGCCATCATATCAATGGTGATTTAATGGTGAGAATTGAAACAGGATCATATTACTAAACCATCACCAAGTGTTAATCTCTTTGGGCTGCTATCTAAGCTTCAGTAACTAATACAGTTTACACAGTCTTAGACAATTTCAGGTCAGATTTCATGCTTAATACTTAGGCTAATAAGCTAAAAGGAGTTTTTTCTTTATAATTTATCAGAATCTGAAATGTATGTACATGCACAGGGCTCTGTTCTTCCAGCATTCTAGCACCAAACRCATGGAAAGAATTTCTAACCCTCAACCTGAGAGTCAAGAACATATACTTGGCTTGGTAATTCATCACGTCTGAAAACTCTCTACCAAAACACCCAAAACATTTTGAAGCTAGCATGCAATTCTGCTCTTGTCCAGAATTTCTGAGTAATTTTTTTTGTCTTCCCATTACTGTCTTCCTTCTCTGCTTAACATTACCATATATTAGAATAAATRTATCTGTTATACAAAATACAACTGATGTCTCAGTTAATGAACTCAAATAATATAACCTTATTGCACTTTCTGGATACCAGAAAATTGTCACTTTTCCTAATCTAAATACTTATTTCACCTCCTGTGTTTTCAGCCTGACTGTATCTTCTRTTATATGCTTACAGTACTGAAATAATCTGGCAAAAATCAACAAGATCCAATATAGTATCAGAAGCTGAATATTACTGAAATTATTTTAAAATTTCTGTCTTAAAAGTTTTTACAACACTGGCTGATTAAAAGCGAAGCTCAAAGTTATCTTGAATAAAAGAAGGCTTGATCTTAAAAAAAAAACCCATGATCTTACCCCCCCCAAAAAAGGGAAAAAATAGTATAACAGAAAATTATTCTACTTGAACTACACCCATGAYTGTGTCTACAACTCACCTTGGATGTCAGGATAAACCAACATATAGAGCAGAGCCCAGCGCAGAGTGGTGGCTGTGGTCTCTGAGCCACCCAGGAAAAGGTCAAAAACAGCCTGCACCATGTTGTCTTCATCAAATGTAGAATTGGGGACATTTTTAGTCTACAGGTGTCAATGAGAAAGGTAAAATGGGATACAGCTGTGTAATGGCACTGACACAGACACTGAGCAGTGTATCTAAAGGAACAATATTTTTAAAGGACAGGGAAAATTGTTAAATTACAAGTGCTGTTGATGTGTCAGGTRTCCTGTTATGCTGCTTTCTAGAGTKRCATRTTGCCTTCTGTTAACTTCCACAGCAGAAAAATATATTTCAAGATAGTTTTATTCCACCCTTGCCACTCTTAGCACATTTACTTATTTCCACAATCTATCTCTCTAATACATAACGTTATCCTTTTAAAGATTTATGCTTTTTCAAGAGCAGAGACTGCCAGCRTTTTAAGATTGTCATGATAATCATACTAAGGACAAAAATAATAAAAGCAGATACTAATAAGGCAAAAAGAATCAGAATTCGACAGCCACCTTAATACCTGCACCTTTTCAAGGTCCTCCCTACTGCCCAGACCTCACTAAGGACTCCACAATATGTCAACAAACCAATATAAATAAAGTGTACTTCTAAAACAAGTTATTGAACTAACTATCCAAAGCTTATATTTTGCATTTGATAGAAGAATTTTTAAGCTGTACTTGTAGAGCTCTGCAATAATGTGGACAGGCAACTGTGGGGAAGGGGCAGGGACCCTGTTATAATTGGATCTGTGTCATTTACAGCATCAATTACTCACTTTCTCTATCTGATCCAGGTAAAAGTCAATGAAATCTTCTGGTTCACCTGTTCTGCCTTTTTCCCTGTGACTTTTGATTTCCTGCCTTACGAATGAACGAACAAAATCACGGGAAAGTAATGTTTTTTGTAGAGATCCTGGGAGGTGCTCTGCAGCCCATTGGAAAACTTCACATATCTGGGGAGCAAGATTTCAGCACAGAGGCAGTAAGTGACACTGTAGAGAAGTCTTGAGATAAAGACATAGCAYGGACATTTTTGGTGCTAAATTGCTGAATTAATTTCTCTGGGAAAAAAAATCTGTAGCATCAAAAAGAAATGTTGGGTACATGGACACATATTAACCTCAAATTAAAGACAACACAGTTTCCTATACTTACTCCATAATTCCATTTGTATTTGCCCTGTTAATTCACTAAAAAAATAGTCTGCTTTTACAGATAGATGAAACATGCACTGATAAATTTAACACTAATAAACACTGACATCTATTACTTTCATACATAGAAAAAAAAAAAAATTCTCTTTCATTCTCACAATAAGTATCACCTTCTCACCTTAAAAATACAGTTAAGTATTACTGAAAAGTCCAGTATCCCAAGCATATTGCCTTTGCTAAGACATGCAGGTCCTGTTCATATTCACAGTCAGATTTTTTATCAGTATTCAATAATGGAATAARTATATTTACTGATATTATTATATTGCAATAAATAATCTCTCARTAATCAAATAAGATGTACATTAAATGAGTAATATTCTCACATAATAAAAGTGGCTGTTCCCAAAAGCCACTATCCAATTGTAGGCTTCCATCAGCTGGCGGAAGTTTTTATCCTCTAGGGAGAAACGATGTCCAAAAACCACAGCACAAATCACATTGGAGACAGCATGGACAATGGGAAAGGAAGGGTCAACAGCTTCTCCTGCAAAGAAAAATATTCACCTCCAAAGCAATTCCTTCACCTCATTTTCTCTTTGGAAAGCAAGATTACAATGATAGTTTATAACAGATGTTCTCTATGGCATTAAGACTGTCACTC